AGCAAAGTAGATTTTCTTTTCTCTTAGCTCAATGTGAGTATTTGGACCAAGGCTGCTGCACCAGCTCAACACAGGCTTCTCCCATCTTGTTGGCCTCTTTTGATCCATGTTTTCCCTCTGGAAATCTAAAAGTCGCTCCAGCCTCCACATTGTGTTCCTAGTCTAGCCAGTGTTAAGGGTCAAAGGGCAAAAGCATGAAGTCAAAGGGCAAAGGCATGAGTCACTCCAGAGCAACACTGGGAGCCGCCCCACCCATCTGCTTCCCCTTGGCCATGTCTGGCCCCAGGGGAGGCTGGGAAATGTAGCCCTTGTGCATGGTCATGTGGCCAGATGACAGCCCTGTTGATGTGTGAGGAGCGAATGTCCCAGTGGGAACAGCCAGGACTCCCTTCCTTGGTATTTTCTTCCTTCCTGGCTTCTGCCCTCACATTGGTAAATACATCCTCAGTGGCTTCCTGAGAAATGGCGCATACATTGATGGGAGGAGTTTCAAACACTTCCCAGCGTGCACTCCTCCCCTCACGTGGGCTCCTCAGACACTGATGCCGGCCTGGGCCATGGGACTTGTTTGGCCAGTGGGACCACAGCACATGTGACACAAGCAGAGGCCTGAGAAGCACAAGTGTCTTGCGCTTGTCCTGCTGCTGTAGGAGATGCTGGGCGTCATTGTGAAGAGAGCATGCGGGTGACCTGAGGCAGGTGGTGGCAGCCAGGTTGCTCTGCTCAACCTTGAGCCAAGCCCACAGGTGCCAGGGAGGCCATTTAGAATATGCAGCTTGAGATGAGAATGGTGAGACATAGCAAGTACTTAGTGTTTTCTTAAGCCACTACACTGTGGGGGTGGTTAGTTACACAGCAGAAGCTAATGGACACAAGACTGTGTGGGTGAAAGAAAGGTCTTTATTTCCCCTCACACATCATCCAACAGGTTCCAATTCTGGGTTAGAAGGAGTCCTGTGTAGACCCTGGGAGCAGTGCTTCCTTGATTTCTAACCTCCCTCCTTGCCTGGGAAGCTCATGTGGATTCTGATTCGCCTGAGCAATCTTTCATGGCGTCCTCATTGTCACCGTGGGCCGAGGTTGTTAACCTGGCTGTGACACGGTGCTGCTCCAGACATGGTGGCCTCGTTCCATCTGGAAATGTTGACTCTTGAGGTCCAGTAATCTCTAGTCACTTCCTGCCCTCCATCTTCTCTGCTTTTTCCTTCCTGACTTCCTCCTATTTGCTCCTTAAGAGCACTGACCCGCTGTATTTCCTCTGAGATTCTCTTCATTTTGGTTTGGGTTTTTGGGGTACCGGGGATCAAACTCGGGTCCTTGCATTTGCGCAGCAGGTGGCGAAACCACTGAGCCAAATCCTCGGCCCTCTCTTTGATTTTAAAAGTCTACATCCTGAGAAATTTCCTAAATTTTATCTTCCAATCTCTGGAGAAATCTTTGTTTCTGCAATCACACTTCCAGTTCCCATGGTTTCTTTCTATTCTTTGAACATTTCCTGTCTTCTCTCATCTCATATGGACATTTATTACAATGTTAGAAAACCTTCATTCAATTATTGCATCCATCTGAAGGCTCCCGTTCCTGTTTGTTCTGTGTTGTTGGCTTGTTTTTGTCTTGGTCTTTTCCGAAGCAGGGCTGTCCCCAGAAGCCGCCAGTACTTGCAGCTCACACCATGCTGCCCGGAAGCTGTGTGGTGGGCAGGGAGGGAGAGATGCTGATCCTACGCTGCTTCCCCAACGGATGCTTTGGTCCACCACATCCTATTGGGTCCTCCAGATGCCCGAGTTAGGGTCCCAGGGTCCCAGTGTGGGAGCCTTCCCCTGCTCCCTGGCATGGCAGTGGGCATTTCCCATTCTCAGTGCCCAGCTCCTCCTCGGTCCCGAGGCCCTCAGCACCATCTCTAGGCACAAGCTGCCCTCCTTCTGCAAGGGCAGAGGCCTACTGGGGCCAGTTCTCAGAAAGGTGCAGCTTCCCCTCCCCTGCAGCACCCCACTTCAGGGTCTGGTGCCAAGGCACAGAGCCCTCCTGGGGTCCTCTGCTGTCCCTCCCTGCCCACTGGGCTCTGCTGTCTTGAAGCCATTGCCCCTGCATGCTTCCCAGAGCTTATGGACTGTCTTCCTGCCCCTTCCCCGGCCTCATGGCTTTCTGCATTCATCCCTTGGCTGTCACCACGGTGGAGCTCGGAAGTGAGGGGTAGGGGACAGGAAGGTTCAGTCTGGGATGTGCACCAGGGCCTCGGGGCCACGCACAGGGGCCAAGCAGTCCAGACAGGCCTCTCAGCAAGCTCCTGCAAGGAGTCAGTGCCATGCTGGGCTGAGCAGAGACACAGTAGGTAGTGCAGGTGGTCTCTGGCCAGGGCAGGCAGCATGGGTGGCTTGTGCTGTGACACTGAAGAGGAGGAGCGGCAGGGCCAGTGGCCCCTGACCTGGCCTGGGAAGGGGGGAGGGGCTTGAGCCTTAGGCTCCCAGCCCAGGAGGTTCTTGGGAAGCAAAGGGTGCAGGAGGGAGGAGGAGGAGGAGGACCTGGACAGTGGCCAGCAGGGTCCCTGGGAAGAAGAGCACCTTCAGGGACTGAAGACGCCTGGGGGCCAGAGCATCTGGGACAGTACAGTAATTACGACCTTGCATGCAGAGTGTGGCCCTGATTGAGTCACCCTCCTGTGTGTGAAGTGGGGAGAATTACAGCGCCCCATGCCTAGGGTGACTGTGGGTGAACGAGCCACACATGTGGAGCGTTCAGTACTGCACACGGCTCAGAGGTGTCCTGTTCATACTGTAATGACACGCTGTGCAAGGACAGGCAAGAATGCAGGTCACCGAGGGCCACCAGTGTGTTGGGGACCCCGGGGAGAGATGTGAACCCAGTTGTTTCCAGGGCTGTGACTGTTACACACGGTGCCAACTTACTGGATTAAGAGCTACCTAGGTTAGTAAAGCACACTTTGGGGGAGGTGTTTCCAGAGATGATTGGCATGTGGGCTAGCAAATGGAGGGGAAGGCCCACCCTGGTGGGGGTGGCTCCATCCAATCGGCTTGCAGGCAGATGGAATGAAAGGGAAGGAGGAGGAAGTCCGCCTGCACTTGAAGAGCTCCCTTCTGCGGAGCCTGGGCGTCTTTTGCTGCCGTCCCCTGAGGACACCAGACTCCAGCTTCTCCAGCCTTGCAAGGCAGACTCACACCAGCGGCTCCCCAGGGAGCTTCCAGGCCTG